GCTCTGAACGAGTGTGGGTGTTCGATACCTGGGGTGACGCGAGAGTGCCCTGCCTGCCGCCTCCAGACCCAAACGATCACTGTAGACAGCGTGCAGGAGAATGTCCTCTTGCACCACGAGAGTGACACTAGCGCTGTCGTACTCTGCTCTCCCGGGCAGGCCCCTTCCAGGACGTCCTCTAGCAGCCAGCAGGTTGTCCAACCGGATGGCCATGTCCACCAGTTGATTGAAGGACAACATAGTGTCACGGCAGGCTAGCTCCCTTCGGACGTCCTCTCGTAGATGGCACCGGAAGTGGTCGATGAGGGCCCGCTCGTTCCAACCGGACCCAGCCGCTAGAGTCCGAAACTCCAGGGCGAAGTCCTGCGCGTTCCTCGTCCCCTGCCTCAGGTGGACCAGCCGCTCGCCTGCCTCTCTACCTTCGGGCGGGTGATCGAAGACTGCCTGAAAGAGGCTAGCGAACTCCCCGTAGTTGTCCAACGTGGCTCCTCCTTCACTCCAGACCGCGTTGGCCCACTCCATGGCTTTCCCCGAGAGGCAGGAGATGAGGGCGGAACCTTCTCCCGCTCTGATGGGGCTGGGCTGATGTTCGAAAAATATAGCTCCAGTTGTAGGAGGAATCCCTGGCAGAGAGCAGCTGTCCCGTCGAACTCCCGTGGTCGGGATATATGGATCCCTCTGGGTGCTCTCCTCTCCAGGCGTTGGACGACCTGGAGAACCCGATCCATTGCTTCTCCCAAACTGGCTAGCATCGTCAAATGCTCCCGGACCCGTGCCACGACTCCAGGTATGTGCTCCTCTCCTGCTGACTCCATGGTTGGTGTGTGATTATGTGATGGGTGATTTGAAGGAGTCAGGCGCAGGAGGGTAGATCACAGAATAACAAGATTTATTCCGGAATACAGAGTATGCAGTAAAGCGTAAAAACAGTCCAGTGCGCAAGACAGGCGCACTGGAACCAACAAGGTAACACTGGGAAAATAACCTGCCGATACAAAATACAAGGAGCTCCACCGAGCTTCTCTCTCCTCACAATAGACAATCACACACAAAGACAAGGGGGCAGAGGGAACACTTATACAGGTACTGATGAGGGGATATGAACCAGGTGTGTGTAATAAACAAGACAAAACAAATGGAATGAAGAGATGAGGAGCGGCAGTGGCTAGAAGGCCGGTGACGACGAACGCCGAAGCCTGCCCGAACTAGGCAGCCTAGCAGGAAGATGTGACAACTGAAGAATTTCTGCACAAACCGCCAGAAACCGTCTCAGGGAAGCTCATTTGTGTGCTCGTCGTCCTCACCAGGGTCTTGACCGACTTCAGTGGGAAAATGCTCACCTTTGATGGCCACTGGCACACTGGAGAAGTGTGCTCTTCACTGATTAATCCTGGTTTCAACTGTACCGGGCAGATGGCAGATAGCGTGTATGGCGTTGTGTGGGCGAGCAGTTTGCTGATGTCATCGTTATGAAAAGAGCAGGCATAAGCTACGGACAATGAACACAATTGCATTTTATCAATGGCAATTTGAATGCAAATAGTCCGGGTAGCCATTTGATTAACTGTTCAGCAGTCTTATGGCTTGGGGGTAGAAGCTGTTAAGGAGCCTTTAGGACCTAGACTTGGCACTCCGGTACCGCTTGCCGTGCGATAGCAGAGAGAACAGTCTATGGTTAGTGTGGCTGAAGTCTTTGGCAATTTATAGAGCCTTCCTCTGACACTGCCTGGTATAGAGGTCCTGGATGGCAGGGAGCTTGGCCCCAGTGATGTACTTGGCCGTACGCACCACCCTCTGTAGCGCCTTGCGGTCAGAGGCCGAGCAGTTGCCATACCAGGCGGTGATGCAACCAGTCAGGATGCTCTCAATGGTGCAGCTGTATAACTTTTTCAGGATCTGAGGACCCATGCCAAATCTTTTCTCCTTATGGGGAATAGGCATTGTCGTGCCCTCTACATGACTGTCTTAGTGTGTTGGACCATGATAGTTTGTTGGTGATATGGACACCAAGGAACTTGAAGCTCTCAACCTGCTCCACTACAGCCCCATCGATGAGAATGGGGGCGTGCTCGGCCCTCCTTTTCCTGTAGTCCACGATCATCTCCTTTATCTTGATCAAGTAGAGGGAGAGGTTGTTGTCATGGAACCACACTGCCAGGTCTCTGACATCCTCCCTATAGGCTGTCTCATCGTTGTCGGTGATCAGGCCTACCACCGTTGTGTCGTCGGCAAACTTAAAGATTGTGTTGGAGTCGTGCTTGGCTACGCAGTCGTGGGTGAACAGGGGAGTACAGGAGGGGACTAAGCACGCACCCCTGAGGGGCCCCCGTGCGTGGCAGATGTGTTGTTGTCTACCCTTACCACCTGGGGGCACGTTTCAAATAAGGGCTGTGTTTCGTGTAGGCTTACCCTGGCGTGACATTTGATAACCATGTAAATCTCTCTCGGACAAGGTGACTTTAATCATTATATTCGGCTCTATTTACTCTCAGATTTGAAAATGCTAATAAGAGTAAAAGTAGACATCATGCAAAACTACAAATCCCTGCAAGCTCCTGCACGTCATCTCTAGCTGACATCTTTGCTAACAGGTATTGTGTCAATTTAAAACTTGAACAAGACAGTCAATTTAAAGAAATGGAGCAAATTTATTCATTACTCCATTTAGCTAACATTAGATAGTTAATCCAGAGATTCTTACCTTTGCCTCGATTCGGCAGTCTCGTCCAGATCATCATGACATTTGTAGTTCTTTATGATAGCCACATTAGCAGCCAATTAGCATTAAAAAAATGTTTTGGGGGTTAAATACAGGCCAATATATTGATATAAGTCACCTTGTCCTAGAGAGATTTACATGGTTATCAAAACGTCACGCAAGGGTAAGCCTACACGGAACATTTTAGCATGTACATCTTGGTGGGGCAAACTCCCCCAATTTTTTGGGGATGCATGCCAGCAAAGCCACTACACAACACAACACAATACATTCATTGCACTATAATGGTGACAAACGGTGCCTACAAACTGTTAGGGCCTACATAAAGCTGTCCCAACAGCAGAGTCCCAACAGCAGACCCAACACCTTACCACTGCTACACCTGGCTATCAGCAGAGTCTTGTTTGGCAGCGAAACAGTTAATTCAGCCTCATTTATTGCCTTTTAAAAAAACATAGCTGATATGGCTGACTTGCTTAAACAAATGTGGTTTCTACTGTCAATTGAGATATTGCATAAGGGGACGACGAGCAGATAAGAGGCAATCCGTAATTTTGATTAAGACAATAATGAGTGAGCTAGGACGGACGTAGTCAATATAACTATTTGTTCAGCACTTTTGAAATGTACAGTGACAGAATTCTTACAGTGTTCTCCCTGTACACCAAGTCAGAACCATAGAATAAATAAATACTATCTCCCTGGCATATTACATCATTTATGCAGCAGCATACAATACATTTTTGGACTCAACTTGTTGTGCTGTGCTCACTTGAACAGGAAGGTGGCGGGTGATCCTTCGTCTGCAAATGTTGTAATCAAACTATCATCAAAGTCTTGCATTCTCTGGATTTATAGTGCTTTCAAGACAACTGGGAACTCAGAAACAAACAAGGTCGAATCATGACGGCAGTGATCTTCATGTCGGAGCTCTAGAAAGAGGCCCGAGTTCCCGACTTGGAAATCCGAGTTGGATGACCGTTCAAAATTTAGTTTTCCAGTCGGAGTTCCCAGTTGTCTTGAACTCACTGAAGTCTGAGATTTCCCAATTCCGAGTTTCCAGTTGTTTTGAACACGGAAGAAGTCATGCAGGATTGACAGCATGGCCAATGTTGAATGTTTATCCTTTTAAGCTTGGAAAAGAGACCCTTAAACCCAGACTTGGACCACACACGCACTCCACTGAATAGCAGGCCACTGATTCCTTCTAAACCACTCATTGTTGAATTTGCGATCTCCAACTTGTGTAATGTTTATGTCCAATGGCCGATGAGCACCAATACGTTATCTATAATTTATCTTCATATGACAAGCATTGAAAAGGATTTGCCAGTAGATTCTCAACTTTATTCATGATGATGACTGCTAACTTGCTAGCTAAGATTTTGAAAGTATGATATTGACATGATCAGTCCAATCAAAGCTACGGTAGATATAACGTGATTTGACGTCATTTTATCTGTGGCCAATGACCTTGAGCCTTCTTGGATGATATATATTTTTTTACATTGTTTGCAAACTGATCTGTGACACGTATTAATGCCAAGATAACATGCAAACAGGCAACAACAAAAAAGCAGAGCCCCACCTGCCCTGAATGATGGGTCGCCACTGATTATGACTCACACTGTGGTACTCTATGCAGTCATGTTCATGGCTTATTGGGGGTGTGACTTTCAGTTAGTTATTTTTGGCCACCCATCTCATGAGAGTGAATGTAATTCCAGTTCATCTGAATGTTATTACAGTGTGCTGCTAGCTATGAATTATATCTGATGGTGTTAACATGTTTAGGTAAAAAGACAAATAATGTACCATTTGGAACACTGACAAGTAGAGAGCTTTTTTTTTTTTTTTTTTTTTAAATCTGATTGGGTGGGCTTGGCTCCCCCGTGGGTGGGCCTGGTGATTCAGGCCCACCCAATCAGATTGAACAAAAAAAGCTCTCTACTTGTCAGTGTTCCAAACGGGCCTGGGTGTGTGTGGCTGTTGTGTATAATTGTATTATTGACATCCACCATAATGTATTGATCACGTTGGATAATGTTTTGCGGTATTGCATTGGGCGGCAGGTAGCTTAGTGGGTAAGAGCGTTGTGCCAGTCACCGAAAGGTCGCTGGTTCTAATCCCCGACCCTACTAGGTGAAAAATGTGTCGATGTGCCCTTAAGCAAGGCACTTAACCCTAATTGCTCCTGTAAGTCGCTTTGGATAAGAGCGTCTGCTAAATGACTAAAATGTAAATGTCTTGCCTCGCCACATTAGTCAGGTGACTGCGGTCAGCTGATTGCCTCCAGACAGACATAACATGGCCGACCTGTCAGAAGCCCAATGAGGAAACGGCCGAGTTTAGCATAATCGATACCCTTTTCACGTCGTTTGGGCTCATATTTCACTATCGTGGACAACATTTGCCAACAGTAACTAAGGTGAGTTTAATAAGAAGATCCCTGAAAGTGCGAGAGTAGGCTCTCAATGAATCACTGCCTAGCTAGCTAACGGTTAGCTCGTGTGATAGCTAACTGGCTATAACACAGATTGAAGGGTTTGTACAAATCTTTAGCTATAACAAGCCAGTCTCAGGCAGTGCATAAACATTCCCTCAACTAACTAACTAGCTAGCTATCATTCCAAAGAAAATTTTGCGAAAGCTTGTGACTTCCCTATGAAACCTTGCACTGCAGTGTTCGTAGTTTGCTAGCTAGCTAAGGTAACTAGCTAATTTGGTTTACATGCAAGAAAGCAGCCGGTGGTGGCAGCTCATTTAGCTCGCATTTGCCAATGCATGCCTGTCGCTATCAAGTTATAATTTGGCCTTCTTTTCTACAATTCAGGGATGTATTCATTACGTCTTGCAACGGAATCCGTTTATCGTTTAATAACCAAACGGAAGCAAACGGAACGAAACGGGAAGGACCTAACTGAATTTATCCAATAGAAACGTTCGTTTTCCGTTTGGGGTAAACGGTTTCCAACAGTTGAAACTTTTTGCAAATTAATCGGTATAATGAATACACCCCAGCTACTGGATCGCTTCAGTTTGTACGAAACAGGAGGGAACGTTTTTATAACGGTTCTTGCCACGCTGAACGCCCGTTTGAAATGTTTTCCCCATTTTTATTACCACTGAACAAGCCCCCAATATTGTTTCAGATGAGCGGGTTGCCAGATGGCGTGGTGAATGGCCCCAGCCAGAGCAACCATGCAGGGAAGGATGGCCAGGTGTGGGAGAGACCCTGGACCCTGGAAGAGATGCGACAGACCAGCGCCAACTGGTCCCTGGCTGCAGACTCAGGGGTAGGCTAAGTGGCATTTGTTTATGGCCTTCATTTAGGCTAGTATCTCTGAGTTATTATTCAGTCTCTGAGTACCTGACTGTTTCGTCTGCATTCAGCAATGTGTAATAGTCTCCTAATCTACATATTATGGGTAGAGCAATCACTTAGGATTGTAAACATAGCAATGCATTTGCATGCAAGAGATTAACTATTTCTCTCAGTGCCAAACACAATGGCCGCTTGTGGAAAATCGGATACACTATTGAATAGATGAAGATGAAACCGATGTTAGTATCCCCTCCTCCACAGCTCTTCCTGTTCCTGCAAGACTTCTCCCAGAGGATGCTGTCAAAAACTCATGAGATAGAGAAGCAGCTGGATGGACTGATCAGGGACACCAAGGCCACAGACTGCTGCCTGCATACCGTCTTCAACGACTTCCTCATGCTCTCCAACACACAATTCATCGAAAACGTATGTTGTGGTGTGAACAGGAAATACCATGGTTGCGTTCATTAGAGAATTTTAATGGAAGATAATGGTCTGAAACAGAAAGTCCTGGCACCGTTTCCACAAAGCATCTAAGTAGGAGTACTGATCTAGGATCAGTTTTGCTTTTTAGTTCATAATAAATAAGAGTATATGAACAGACCCTAGATCAGCACTCCTACTCTAAGATGCTTTGTAACAGATTTGTATTTATTTAATTGTACAACGGTGTGTGCAAATTAACACAACCTATGTTTTGTTCCTCTGTTGAGCTAGGTGCCCCTCTTCTTTAGACCTTTTGAAATTTCACAAGCTTTTAACCAAATTAAGAAAATATTAATCGTTACATGGTCAGGAAAATGTGGAAGTCATCCCCACTGGGACTATTAGGAACTGAGTCCTCTTGTGTTTCATCATGTGGTTACTGATGGTGGCTCCTCTGTTTGCTGACTATATCACAGAGGGTGTTATGTTTGATATATTCTAACTCATTCTTCTGTATTGATTGTGTGATGTTACTGATCTTTGTTTGTTGACCTCATCAGAGAGTGTATGATGAGGAGGTGGAGGAGCCAGTGCCAAAGGCTGAGGCCATGGAGAGACAACCTGAACTGGTAAATAATCGACCTATTCCTTCCCATATATGTAGTTTTTTTGTGATGTTATGTGTAGGCCTGTGACATCTTAATTTCCTCCCTGGGGTTAAAGTTCAATTCAATTTCTTCCCCAGGAGAAGACTCGTGAGCAGAAGGAAGCCGAGCTAATCCCTAAGGTCCAGGAAGCAGTGAACTTCGGTCTGAGGGTGCTAGACTCTGCCTTCGAGCAACTGGACATCAAAGCAGGAAACTCTGACTCGGAAGACGAGGAGGCCACAGACAGAGTGGAGCCCATACTAGAGCCCAAGGTGAGGGTGGAATTCAATCATCATTCAAGTTACTTATGCCTGCAGATATCATGTTAGGATTAATACTAGGGGTGTAATACACGTATTCGTACCCAACCGTTCGGTACGGGGACCTTGGTTCAGTCCTCACTGTGAACCCGAATTAATACTTTAAAAAAGTAGTATATAATAACCTAGGCCTATAGGCTATGCCTACGCTACGTTGCCTCTTGAGTAAATCTGAGCTGAAAACCCCCAATTTCTGGCTATTCCGTTAAAACAACTAGAGCCTATGTGCACGTTGTAATCAATATTTAAATCTTAATTGCCGCATTTCAAACTGTCTTTTTGTGAGGTGCAGCCGGGAACTAGTTCTGTTTGATGGCTAATTGGTGGGGTCGACAAACCAGGAGGATTCTCCATAATCTTTTAAGTCTCCAGTTTGGGAACATTTTGGCTTTCCAGTAGATAACAACGGCGATGGACAGAGAGAGTACTTTTATTTACCATCTACTTCACTTGCTTTGGCAATGTTAACATACGTTTCCCATGCCTTGAATTGAGAGTATGTCGCTACTGCTCAATGAGAATAGCCTATGCAGCTGCCATCACCTCAAACATGTTGACACATTTACGGCGACATCACCCAAGTATTCCTACCACCGGAGCAAAAAAACAACACAACTTCGTCTTCCCACTGCATTCAAGCAGCTCTTCGCAGCTGATTCTGACCGGGCCGAAGAAATTACAAGGGTGATAGGTATGTTTATAGCCGTGGATATGCGCCCATTCTCGGTGGTTGAGAAGAATAGGGGGTTTCAGCACCTCGTGAAAGTGCTCTAGCCACATTACGAATTTCGCCCTCTCACACCCATTTAATCAAACAGGTAGTACCTGCTCTATATAAGAAAGCTAAAGCCGAAGTTGTCAATGAATTGCACTTACTACAGATGGATGGACCTTCAGGGCTACAGAGAGCTACATTAACAGTGACAGCCCATCACATTACCCTAGAGTGGGAAATGAGAAGTACCGTGCTACACACCCTCTTTATGAGAGCCTAAGAAGTGCGCATATTTTTCTCTTCGTAAGAAAACATTATAGCATAGGCCATCCAATGTCATGTTTACATATTGATTTCACACGCCTATTGCATTTTATTTTAGTGTTGTTGATGAGCGATCGTGTGTTTTCATTTTAAGAAAATACAACGTGTGGTATTCCTGATTGTGCTTTTATCAGACATTATAAACTGGGTGGTTCGAGCCCTGAATGCTGATTGGCTGACAGCTGTGGTATATCAGACCATATACAACGAGTATGACAACTTTGTTGTTACTGCTCTAATTACGTTGGTAACCAGTTTATAATAGCAATAAGGCACCTTGGGGGTTTGTGGTATATGACCAATCCGCGTTGCGTCGTGCTTTAGAACAGCCCTTAGCCGTGGTATATTGGCCAGATACCACACCCCTTGGTGCCTAATTGCTTAATTATATGACTCATGATCATACACTACATTACCAAAAGTATGTGGACACCCCTTCAAATGAGTGGATTCTGCTATTTCAGTCACACCCGTTGCTGACAGGTGTATAAAATCGAGCACACAGCCATGCAATCTCCATAAACAAACATTGGCAGTAGAATGGCCCATACTGAAGAGCTCAGTGACTTTCAACGTGGCACCGTCATAGGATGCCACCTTTCCAACAAGTCAGCCCTGCTAGAGCTGCCTTGCTCAACTGTAAGTGCAGCTATTGTGAAGTGGAAACATCTAGGAGCACCATGCGCAATGCTAAGCGTGGGCTGGAGTGGTGTAAAGCTCGCCGCCATTGGACTTTGGAGCAGTGGAAACGTGTTCTCTGGAGTGATTAATCACTCTTCACCATCTGGCATTCCGACGGACGAATCTGGGTTTGGCGGATGCCAGGACAACGCTATCTGCCCCAATGCGTAGTGCCAACTGTAAAGTTTGGTGGAGGAGGAATAATGGTCTGGGGCTGTTTTTCATGGTTTGGGCTAGGCCCCTTAGTTCCAGTGAAGGGAAATCTTAATGCTACAGCATGCAATGACATTCTAGATGATTCTGTCCTTCCAAATTTGTGGCAACAGTTTGGGGAAGGCCTTTTCCTGTTTCAGCATGACAATGCCCCTGTGCACAAAGGTCCATACAGAAATGGTTTGTCGAGATCGGTGTGGAAGAACTTGACTGGCCTGCACAGAGCCATGACCTCAACCCCATCGAACACCTTTGGGATGAATTGGAACACTGACTGCGTGCCAGGCCTAATCGGCCAACATCAGTGCCCGACCTCACTAATGCTCTTGTGGCTGAATGGAGGCAAGTCCCCGCAGCAATGTTCCAACATCTAGTGGAAAGTCTTCCCAGAAGAGTGGAGGCTGTTATAGCAGCAAAGGGGGGACACACTCCATATCAATGGCCATGATTTTGGAATGAGATGTTCTTGGCCATGTAGTGTATATGGAATCAGGAATACCAACACTTTGTATTTTCTTAAGTAAACAAAAGTTAACTACAGTAACTGTTGGCATTTCATTTTCCCACTGTTACGAAACCAAACCAAACCATGGCCCCAAAACTGCAATACGTACCGACCGTGGGTTTGGTTAACTGTTACACCCATAATTAATACATATCCAGTACATCTAAGGGAGGATGGGCACCCCTCTGAGTCTGGTTCCTCTCAAGTTTTCTTCCCTGGCTAATCTTTCCTTGCCACTGTGCTTCTGATTTTCTCTTTTGGGTCTAGGCCGTAATAATAAGTACTTTGTGACAACTGTTGATGTAAAAAGGGTGTTTTTGAGTAACATTTGATTTGAATGATTCTGCCCGTGTTGACCAATGATGTGATCTCTGTCCTCTTCCTCCCCCCTCTTTCTTTCTCCAACCCACCTCTCGCTGTGTCTGTAGGACCTGTATGTGGACAGGCCTTTACCGTATCTGATTGGCTCTCAGCTCTTTATGGAGCAAGACGACGTAGGACTTGGAGACCTCTCCAGTGAAGGTAGGTCACCTCACCTCTGTTCTTAATATACAATTTCTACTGAAAGAAAGTGTGTATATTCTTAGCATGTGTTTATATTGTTAGTGTTCAATACTCTCTTCCAAGCATAGTGTTTCTTGTGTAACATTAGTAATGTTTCTCATGTATTTTTTGTAATGAAAATAAATCTCTGCACACTCCGGATCGATGCACAATTTTCTATTTATTTAGGCTGCGCTTTTGGTCGTCAGACCTTCATCAGAGCAGACAAAAACACATGACAGAGGCCACATATAGGCAACATGTGTCAATGCAATCAGACATGATGAGCAAAACCTGTGTACAACACAAACGCCAGGAGGCACTTCAGTAATCAGTTATCTCAGAAAAAGTGTGACTTGACAGAGGCAGTTTATATTATTTTGTTTCAGTATATTTTTGACGTAATTGTAATTTCTTAAAATACATTTTTACATAATTCATAAATACTTTAACAAAAAAAATACGCCCCAAAAACGTCACTTACCAGAATGCTAACAAAATGCTAATAAGTAATGGCGGGTAGGAGCGTTGGGCCAGTAACCGAAAGGTTGGTGGATCGAATCCCCGAGCTGACAAGGTAAAAATCTGTCGCTCTGCCCCTGAGCAAGGCAGTCAACCCACTGTTCCCCGGGCACTGATGACGTGGATGTCAATTAAGGCAGCCCTCCGCACCTCTCTGATTCAGAGGGGTTGGGTTAAATGCGGAAGACACATTTCAGTTGAATGCATTCAGTTGTACAACTGACTAGGTATCCCCCTTTCCCTTACTACGGAATCCCTAATGCAGATGCTAGGTAAATGCTAACGAGGGCATGCATTTACTACTAAGACAGACAACCCAGCTAATAAAGTTATGCAAGTATCTCAAAACGCAGTTTGCAGCACGCACAAATCAAATCCAAGAAGCTTGATCTTGCAAGCTAATGTTAGCCAGTTGGCAAAACCAAAAAATTTATTTGGCACATCTTAGTTAACTTAATAATTATAAGATATATAGCTGGCAAACATTAGTAGTGAATTTCATGCAAGTGTAACTTGATCACCTCACTTAGGTTTCGCTGCAGGAGTGACTCACTTTACAAAGTTCCCGTTTTTTCTGGTTGTGTTTCTATGTAAACAAACACACGACTGGCTCAAACAGATGGCTCAAATTGCTGTTTTGGCAAACTAGTGAGCTTTGGGAAACGGTAAGCTTCATAATGAAGAATAATTTTGCCTGTTAGATGATGCATGCAATCTGCTTTATCTTTAACCTAGTGCACAAGTTGACTACAGGTATTTATTTAGAAAGTACAAATATTAAATTGTATTTACTTGACGGTATTGAAAAATCATACCGAGGGTATTTCGAAATACCCCGGGATACGGTATACCGCCCAACCCTGTAGCACCTTTTGGTCGAATGCCAAGCAGTTGCCATAGCAAGCGGTGATGCAGCCAGTCAAGATGCTCTCAATTGTACAGCTGTAGAACCTTTTGAGGATCTGAGTGCCCCTGCCAAATCTTTTCAGCCTCCTGAGGGGGAAGAGGCGTTGTCATGCCCTCTTCACGACTGTGTTGGTGTGTGTCGACCATGATAGACCCTTTGTTATGTGCGCACCGAGGAACTTGAAGCTCTCGACCCGCTCCACTACAGCCTCGTAGATGTGAATGGGGGCGTGCTCCGCCCTCCGTTTCCTGTAGTTCACGATCAGCTCCTTTGACTTGCTGACATTGAGGGAGAGGTTGTTGTTCTAGCACCACACTGCCAGATCTCTGACCTCCTCCCTATAGGCTGTCTCATCGTCGTCGGTGATCAGGCCTACCACCGTCGGGTTGTCGACAAACTTAATGATGGTGTTGGAGTCGTGCGGCCAATCAGTCGTGGGTGAACAGGGCGTACAGGAGGGGACTAAGCACGCACCCCTTAGGGGCCCCCGTGTTGGGGTTCAGATTGGCGGATGTGTTGTTGCCTACCCACCACCTGGGGGCGGCCGTGAGGAAGTCAAGATCCAGTTGCAGAGGGAGGTGTTCAGTCCCAGGGTCCTTAGTTAATTGATGAGCTTGGAGGGCACTTTGGTGTTGAATGCTGAGCTGTAGTCAATGAACAGCTTTTCACATAGGTGTTCCTCTTGTCCAAGTGGGAGAGGGCAGTGTGTAGTACAATAGAGATTGCGTCATCTGTGGATCTTTTGGGGCGGTATGCGAATTGGAGTGTGTCTAGGATGATGGTATTGATTTGAACCATGGCCAGCCTTTCAAAGCATTTCATGGCTACACATGTGAGTGCTACGGGACAATAGTCATTTAGGCAGGCTACCTTTGCGTTCTTGAGTACAGGGACTATAGTAGTCTGCTTGAAACATGTAGGTGTTAGACTGGGTCAGGGAGAGGGTGGAAATGTCAGTGAAGACACTTGCCAGCAGGTCAGCGAATGCTCTGAGTACGAGTCCTGGTAATCCGTGTGGCCCTGCGGCCTTGTGATTGTTAACCTGTTTAAAGGTCTTACTCACATTGGCTTGATCACAAAGTCGTCCGGAACAGCTGCTGCTCTCATGCATGGTTCAGTGTTGCTTGCCTCGAAGCGAGCATAGAAAGCATTTAGCTCATCCGGTAGACTTGCGTAACTGGGCAGCTCGCGGCTGGGTTTCCCAGCCCAAAAAAAGAAAGCATACTTTTTTACATTTAGCTCAACATTAAATTACTTCACCAATCATGCAGTGCAGATAGAGCAGCTTGCTATGGAGCAGGCAAGCTATAGCTCAGTGAGTTGTTTACATGCGTGATGGAAAGACAAGCGTAGGGTGCAATTTTGCGGGTGGGGAGAGAGGGTGGAGGAGGAGTGGAGGCTTAGATTGAAGTGCTGGGCATCTTGTGATGACATGCATTATCTGAATTAGGCCCATATAATTATTCTATGGAAGAACTTTGAATGTCTGAGCTTCAGAGTTGGCTTAACGTTGGACCAGAGAAGCTAACTAGCTAACAATCTTGTGTGTGAAGAGCGGCACCTGAATTAATAACACCTTTTAACTTTTTGTAGTTAATAAATCCAATGTGGAATGTGATAACTATAGCATCCCTAACTAGCATTGAAAAAGTTAATCCATTCTTCTCTAATTAAAAAGCCCTCTGTCTTTTGAATCATGCTTGTAATGTCCGTAGGCTACAGCTCTGCTTCGGAGGGGCAGGGGCAGGTAGCCTACACACACACCACCAACGTTTCTCAGCTGGCAGGCAGACACTGGAAGAAGGGAGGGCTTTGCATAGGCGCTTTGTTGCATTTTTTTGTGGGACTGAAATAGAAATGCCCGGAACGTAAAATAACTTTAACCTATTCACATGCTTTTAAAAATAACTGTTCTGTTCCGGGACAGTGTAGATCACTTTCGTTCCCTGTTCTGATTCTGTTCCCTGAAAAATGTTGTTCTTTTCCAATTTTCGGTTCTGTTCCCTGAACCGGTTCCAACCCCTGCTGGGAAGAGTAACCTCTGTCGAAGAACCTCTGTCATGTGTTTTTTGTGAAACCGGTGTGGTTTTTTACTATACAGAAATATCCATCGACAGCGATCGAGACAGTGTCATCGACAGTGAAGATGGCAAAGATGCTGATGTAAGACTTTTTTTCTTTACTCACCCAGAAAGAATCAGATGTTTTTTAGAGAGTGAAGTTGGCATAATTTTACATCTTGATCCAAATAAGGTGAAAATACAGAAAATTATATTTGATTCAGATCATTTTATTATCCCTGTGGTGTTTATGAACAGCAGTCAGACGAAGACTTTGACCAGGATGAGGAGGGGCCAAGCAGCATTAAGAAGGTGAGGTCAATTTTACTCTTGACTGTCAGGGTCAACGTTCAAACCCAGAGTTTGTGGATATCTTTGCGATAACAATAACAAATGTACAGGATTGTATCTCTGTGTGAACAATTCTGACAAGGGATGATTAGGGTATTTGCCAATTTAATCAAAGACGGAAGGCAACAGAAAAGTGTGCAATTGCTTGAGTCCTACCTACTCTGGACACTGGCCATAAGAATGCTGTTGTTTATGGTGACGATGGTAATGATTACGTTTAACATTTAAGTCATTTGGAAGACGCTCTTATCTTAGTGAGGAATGTAATGCAATTTGCAACAGCATGGATGACGTTGAATGATTTCCTCTGCAGAAGTCGTCCATGTTGAGTGATGAGGACGAGGGGGAAGAATCAGACATATTCGGAGAATCGGACAAAGATGATGATGAAGATAGCAGAACGGTATGTTTGTGATTATAGTTTGCTGCTGGATAATGATACTAACATTATTACAAACAGGTAATTTATTAAATATTACCAAACATTTATTTATCCAGGTAAGTCAACATTGCTAATACGTTATATGTATGACTTAAGTGAATATAGCGAATATAACATGTTAAGAGTTAATTGCATGTTTACGTGTCCCCTTGCATGAATATTAATGTTCTATTCCACCTCTCTTTTACGTAAGTCTTTGTGTCACATTCAGAACACAGGACCATCATCCTTTGCTGATGAGCTGGCTGCCAGAATCAAAGGGGAACCTATCAGCAAGCCGGAGGGAGATCGCACATGTAAGTTGACTTGATATAACCTGCATGGCTGCAGGAATATGTTTAGGGGTGGGGCTGCTGAGAAATGTTTTTCTCCCTGTGCTGCTGACTACTATTTTTGTCCACTCATACAGGAGTAAAAAAGGCCCAGTGCACACTTTGTTGTGTATTTATTATTCTGATTTATCAGGGGGTTGTTGCAGCACCCCTACTCCCCGCAGCTATGATGACCTGTATTGCAAACTGTTCAACACTAAAGTTGGGCGGTATCCAGATTGTCACACCGTTTCTGTACTATAGCGGGGCATACGATATTACCGAATGTAATATATCTTAATTTATTTTTGTATTTTTACGCACAAAACAATTTAGGCAACAGGAAGGGATTGAAAGTCTCTGCTGTAACCAATAAGCTTCCTCTTGACATCTAGCCACTTGGATAGCAAGCTAGCAAACCAAATGCATAGCTGGAGCCCTGAGCTAGATATTATTTATTTGACACATCTTAGATTTCTTATAGTTCTACTTTCTTATAGATAGAAGCAGTGGCGTATATGCCGCCCTAGGCTAGACAAAAAAATTGCCAACCCTCCTCCTATCCCCGCAAAGTAGAATAAAAGCCTAGGCCAGGCCTGGAATTTCATGATTTTAGGGGCAAGGCCATTTGGCCTTCAAGAGGTGCCCAATCTTCCAGGGCACCAAGGCCATCTGCCAGGGCACCAAGGCCATCTGCTAGGGCACCAAGGCCATTAACTAAAATAGCCAATTTAAATAGATTTAAAAAACAAAAAACAGTGGCTCTTCTGTTAAGAAAAAACAACTATGTAAATGTACATAAATAATTAGGCTACATGTCGAAGTGTAGGTGAAATCCTATGCGTATTGGCTACAGCCTATAATGTCTAGACCGATGCTGACATGAGGGAGGTGCCTGAAAATGTAGCCAAACTTTTATTTGACTTTTAATTACTTTTAATATATATATAGGCTAAATGCCACTCATGTTTGACATATAATGTAGGACTGTTATTAATATCTAAAGGCTTGACTCTGTCGACATGTTAGTTCAGATAGGAGAGAAAGGGCAGTGCCTGTTGCGCACTGCAACATCACCCACCTTGAAACTATTTAACCATAAATGTATGGCCGTCGGTGCTGCCAGAAACTTTGAGCTCTGGCCTAGGCTATACAGTATCGGCCCACAATGCACTTTAATGAATGCCTATCCATGTGGTAGCCTATTGTTTGTAAAACAGGACGTTGCATTGGCTTTATAGTCCTGATACTTGACAAAGACTTACGACTAATCATTTAGGCTATTCAAGCTCTGAATATCAGCTACCATAGGCGGCACGTCCTAAAGTAAATTGAAATATATTTGCCAAAATTAGATAAATGCATTCATTCAAAATACTTCACCAGAGAGCATGACTTAGCCACAGAGGATCATTAGCTTCTAACATTTTTTTTGCTGTGGATTGTTTCAAATCAGAAGTGAGTATGCTTAGTTGGGAAGTCAGCAATTTGGGCAGCACGCATGGCAATAGGCCTAGCTGATTATTGAGTTGCGGCTATCAGTGAAAAGCATAAAAAATATGTGTGAAGACAATGTGTCTTGAGTATCATTTTAAATATTAAGACAAGACAAAGTAGATGGGTGGGTGGAGAGGATATAGGCGCATCGCTCTCCAGAATGCACTCAGCTCTCCAGAATGCACTCAGCTCTCCAGAATGCACTCAGCTCTCCAGAATGCACTCAGCTCTCCGGAATGTGCTTAGCTGTCTCGCCAATTCTTGTGCATACATTTTTTCATTGTGTGAATTGTTTATTTTTATCAATTCCCCATTACATATGTCACCAGTAGTAAATTTACCATTAATCGGCGTCATTTGGTTACATTAATTTCTGTTAATGCATGTATTAATTGCAGTCATTTACCGTTCTCATTCTTTCTCGGAGTGGAAACGTTGTTTGCAGAGTTCACAAACTGCTACACTTGTAAGAAACAAGTTTTGGTTTATTTCATACCATTTACGAGTTTTGTAAAAAAAGATGTAATTGTTTTTTGTTTGGAGAGCAATGAGCATGTGTTTGGTTTCTTTCTCTGTCCTGTTAATGTAGATGTAGATCGGGCACCTATGCACGCATAAAGTAGGCTAATTGGCATGCTCACGCAAATGTAGGAAAGTGCCCGTTTGGGGATACCTGATTTATGACCACCACTAATAATAATAATAAGCTGAGCTTCTCAGTCATTTTTGTAACCATGTGACAATGATTTTGAGAATGACACTGTTCCACGAAAATGCCAATATGAAAATATAACTGCCGCGCAGATTGGTAGGATAAATTCTTAGCTTCCCCAAACGTGAAACTCGCGCTGCCTATGTCAGCTACCCAAGTTTATCAGGCAGTGTATTATCTTGGAAAATGCAGTTCATAGCCTATTTTCTTCTTCGCCATGATCAGATCAGAAATTGACAAATGGGTCTAATTATCATGACAATTTAGCCCACTGAGTGAAACTCCCAGACAGAGGTCGTGAGTAGCCTAATTTCATTCCCTAGGCTACTGTCCATTTTATTTTGACCTGTCCTGTTTTTAGGATATGGTGTGTTTGTTAACATGTTAATTCATATTCACATCGAAGCACATTGTTTTTTGATAGGGCGTCATTTAGGCTATTTGATCGGAAACACGCATGATGTAAAAAGTGTCTGTCTCATGATATTGTCATGAATTTGGTCGCCATGTAGGCTACAGAAAAGGCCACAGAGGCTATAGACTCTTTCTAGTGTAAAGGCTACATGATTTGACGGAGCGTTGGTGGAGCACTGCAATGCTGCATCTCTCCAACAGCACGATGGAGAGGTGCGCTGGGCATGGACAAGATAGATATTTTGCAACCGTCTTTATCAGAGTGGGCACTACTTATAATGGGATGGCATCATTATTTGTTGTTGGAGGTGCGTCTTGGTCAGTTTAGCTGGGAAAATGCTGCCCTTTTCAATCTGCCACCTTGGCGGCCGCCCTGCACACACTTTTATGTCAGATGGTCCAGCACCATCCTCAGACAATTGCTTACATTTTTTGTGTAATTCTCAATTCAGGATAAAATCTTGCTATGTCATGTGATTGCGCAAAACACCGGGCCCTACATTTTATACAGAAACCGTTTGGCACTTACGATACAATGCACTCAAAAAAATTCATTCATCTTTCCTCCCTATTTTTGAATCGTATCATCACTGTTTGCTCCATATAGTCTTCAAGTTTCAAGATGTGTTTTCAGTTTATGTAGGCCATACATCAAATGTGATGTCATACAGCAGAAAATATCTGTCTTTGAGAATTACAACAGTACAAACATGTTTCACTACATATTATTGTTCTGCATGTGCATGCTCATGTTTCCTTTCCCATGTCACCTCTGAAGCGTTGTCGTCTGCCTCTAAGAAGAAGAGTCAAACAAAGAAAAAGCCCAAGCCTGAGAGGCCACAGGGTAGGACATTCATTCACTCACTTATGTAAAAGAGGGTTTTCTTTACTATGCGTCGTGAACAAGCACCTAATCTCACACTCTATGCATCCAATTACACTGAGTATACCAAACATTAGGAACACTTTCCTAATATTGAGTTGCATCCCCCCCCCTTTTGACCTCAGAACAGCTTCAATTCATCGGGACATAGACTCTACAAGGTGTCGAAAGCGTTCCACAGGGATGCTGGCCCATGTTGACTCCAATGCTTCCCACAGTTGTGTCCAGTTGGCTGGATGTCCTTTGGGTGGTGGACCATTCTTGATACACACGGGAAACTGTTGAGCGTGAAAAACCCAGCAGCGTTGCAGTTCTTGACACAAACTGGTGCGGCTGGCATCAACTAGCATACCCTGTTCAAAGGCACTTAAATCATGTCTTGCCCATTCACCCTCTGAATGGCACACATACACAATCCATGTCTCAACTGTTTCAAGGTTTAAAAGTCCTTCTTTAACCTGTCTCCTCCCTTTCATCTACACTGATTTGAAGTGGATTTAACAGGTGACATTAATAAGGGATCATAGCTTTCACCTGGATACACCTGTTCAGTCTATGTCATGGAAAGAGCAGGTGTTCTAAATGTTTGCACACTCAGCTTAGCAGGGACAATATACAGTAACTGTTACTTCATAACACTTCAGTCAGAAGAAAGTAACTGAATTAGATATAATTTGTCATAAGTAATTTGTAATAAAATGACATTACAGAATGTATATATTTATATGTTTCTTGTTGACACCTGACCTGTTTGTTTGTGTTGTAGCTATTGAAGATGACAGCGAGGAGTTGTTTGGGCCGCCCAAGATGGAGGACGAGGACTTCTCTCCGTTCGGAGGGAAAGGAGGCCTCTTCAGCGGAGGAAGAGGACTGTTTGATGATGATGATGAAGTATGCTCACCTGAATGCCATTTTGTAGCTTCCATATCTTACTTTTTAAATGTTACTTACCAATTGTAATTTCAAATAATATGATGGATAGAACAAAATCTATCTGGCTTGTTAATTGCTCCCAAATAGTACATTCAATTAGTTTTGTCTGAAACCATAGCAAACCTAATGATATGATGTTTGTTGTCCAGGGGGATCTGTTCTCTGATGCACCTAAACAGCCTGTAACAGAGGAGAAGACCAGGAACACAGCTCACGCCACAGGTAATAATGGCCCTACAACTATCTGTTGAAATACCAAGGCTGTTTTCATTAGGGCACATCGTAGCAAAAATGTTTTTCAATTGTAAATGAAACATTTCTTGTTGGGCAAGTTCAAATAGTAGCTTCCAGTTTCTTTCAGTTTGGTCATGTTTTCTTATAAGTGAATTGGGAATGTTGTTAATTTTGTATAATGGCTCTGGTCACGGTTTCTAATTTAGTTGTCGTGGGTTATCGTCTTAATTATTACGTGCATTTTCCTGGACAGTATAGAGACTTTGACCTGTATTTCTCTATTGTGTTTCTGCCAGAACCCGTCAAGCCTGCTAAGAAGATTCCTTCAGGGGCTGTGTCAATATTCCCAGGTAACAGAGACATGCCCCAAGGACAGCAAAGGCCTTTCAAAGATGACAGATTATTACATAGTAATAACAGTTGGACAGTTTTGGGGGGCTTGAGGACGTAATGCCTCTACAGATTGTCTTGCCCTTCTGAAATGGAATTTGAATTTATTCAGTGGAAATTTAATTTATTCAATTCAAGCTAAACACTACTACAAAACACTACTACACACAGTTGACTACATGTTGACAATACTGTGATGGTATTGACAAGATCATCCTCTGAGTCCTGTCCTCTTCTTTTCCCTTAGAGAACAGCCTGTTTGGCATTCCCAATGACTCTGACTCAGTGGAGGGCAGAGAGAATGGCAGTTCAGCCAAACCCAACAAGACCCAGACATCAGCCCCTAGAAATACCTCTTTAGGGGGAGGAGGAGGGGGGCTGTTCGATGACGATGAAGAGGATGACTTCTTCACTGGCAAAAGCCTTAAAAATTCCAGCTCAGGTAAGTCAGTCAAACAGTAACCGCTCTCTCTTTCTCTAGCACGTTGGGTGAGATCCAAACTTGAAATCAACAATTGTAAAATATCAGTGTAAATCTTGCATTGACATCACGCAAGTACATAATTTACTCCTTATGTATGTGAATCTCAAGTTAGGAGTCAGCCCATTTTCACCGTATTTTCATTCATGCAGTGAGTTTCAGATCTAACATTTTGTCTCACTACATTTACATTTTTGTCATTTAGCAGACGCTCTTATCCAGAGCGACTAACAGTTAGTGCATTCATCTTAAGATAGCTAGGTGGGACAACCACATATCTCAGTCATAGTAAGTACATTTTTCCTCAATGTAGTAGCTATCAGCAAAGTCAGAGCTAGTAAGGAGGAATGTTAGTTCACAAAAGGCTTTTGGGAGGGACCAGAGGTGGCAGAACGGAGTACTCGGGTTGGGGTGTAGGGTTTGAGCATAGCCTGACGGTAGGGAGGGGCAGTTCCTCTTGCTGCTCCGTAGGCAAATACCATGGTCTTGTAGTGGATGCAAGCTTTGACTGGAAGCCAGTGGAGTGTGCGGAGGAGTGGGGTGACATGGGAGAACGGGAAGGTTGAACACTAGGAGGGCTGCGGCACTCTGGATGAGTTGTAGGGGTTTGATGGCACAAGCAGGGAGCCCAGCCAACAGCAAGTTGCAGTAGTCCAGACAGGAGATGACGTGCCTGGATTAGGACCTGCGCCGCTTTCTGTGTGAGGTAGGGTCGTACTCTACGGATGTTGTAGAGCATGAACCTGCAGGAGTGAGTCACTGCTTTGATGTTTGCAGAGAACGGCAGGGTGTTATCCAGGGTTACACCAAGGGTCTTTGCACTCTGGGAGGGGGACACCGTGGCGTTGTCAACCGTGATGGAGAGGTCTTGGAGCGGGCAGGCCTTCCCTGGGAGGAAGAGCAGCTCCGTCTTGTTGAGCTTGAGGTGGTGGGCCGACATCCAAGATGAGATATCTGCCAGGCATACAGAAATGCGTGTCGTCACCTGGGTGTCAGAAGGGGGGAAGGAGAAAAGTAGTTGAGTGTCATCCGCATAGCAATGATCGGAGAGACCATGTGAGGATATGACTGCGCCGAGTGACTTGGTGTATAGAGAGAAGAGGAGAGTTGTGAGAAAGAGGTCAAGGCCTAGGGTAGGTCTGTGTGAGTGGGACCAGTGGACTCAATAGGCTGAGTGAATGAGGAGCGGATGTCGTCAACCTTCTTTTCATAGTGTCGACAAAGTCATCCGCGAGGAGGGTGTGGAGGATGAGGATTAAGGAGGGAGGAGAAGGTGGAAAATAGTTTCCTAGGGTTAGAGGCAGAAGCTTGACATTTAGTGATAGAAAGTGGCTTTAGCAGCAGATACAGAGGAAGACAAAGTAGAGAGGAGGGAGTGAAAGGATGATGGGTCCGGAAGTTTCGTTTTCCTCCATTTTTGTTCAGCTACCCGCAGCCCTGTTCTGTAAGCTTGCAATGAGCCACGGAACAGGAGGGGAGGGCCGAGCCGGCCGGAAGGAAAGGGGACAGTGCGAGTCATAGAGTAGGGTCGAAGAGGCAGAATCAGGAGAACGGAGGGAGAAGGATTTAGCAGAAGGGATAGGACAGACTAGTGGGAGAGAGAGAGAATATTGCGTTGGCGCATGACCATCTAGGTAGGGGCTGAGTGGGTAGGGTTGGAGGAGAGGGAGACAAAAAAGGAAACGAAGTAGTGATCAGAGACCTGGAGGGGGTTTGCAGTGAGATTAGTAGGCGAACAGCCTCTAGTAAAGATGAGGTCAAGTGTATTGCCTGCCTTGTGAGTGGGAGGGGACTGGGAAATGGTGAGGTCAAAAGAGCCAAGTAGGGGTAAGAAAGAGGTAGAAATAAATTAATCGAAGGCAGACACCGGGAGGTTGAGGTCGCCTAGTACGAAAAGCGGTAAACCATCGTCAGGAAATGAGCTTATCATGGTGTCAAACTTATTGAGGAACTCTCAATGTTAAGCTTGAGTGCACAAGTGACAGTGACAGCATGGAATTCAAATGAGGAGCTGGACAGGTGAGTCAGGGAGAAAAGAGAATCTCCACAAATGAGTAGCCCTGTGCCACACCGCGACGATGAGATGCTCTCGGACTATGAGAGAACGCGTAGGCAGATGAAGAGAGAGGAGCTGGAGTAGCAGTGTTCTCTGGGGTGATCCATGTCTCCGTCAGGGACAAAAAGTCTAAGGACTGAATGGCAGCATAGGCTAAGATTAACTTGGCGTTCTTGACCACAGATCGGCAGTTCCAAACGCAGAGACCAATAATTACACATGGGTTGTGCAAGCAGGGTACACTAAATTAGAAAGGTTGCATCTGTAAAAAGCCTACAGGGAGAGGAGCGAACAAGTATAGAAAACACGCACATAGTTGAAAAAGCTACAAAAGAGCAAAATTAGATGATCTGTAAATATACTGAACAAAAATATAAACACAACATGTAAAGTCTTGATCCCATGTTTCATGAACTGAAATAAAAGATCCCAGAAATGTTCCATACGCACAAAAATCTTACTGTATTTCTCTAAAATGTTTGGTTTACAAATTGGTTTACATCCCTGTTAATGAGCATTTCTCCTTTGCCAAGATAATCCATCCACCTGACAGGTGTGGCATATCAAGAAGCTGATTTAAACACCATGATCATTACACATGTGCACCTTGTGCTGGGGACAATAAAAGGCCTCTCTAAAATGTGCAGTTTTGTCACACAACACAATGCCACAGATGTGTCAAGTTTTGAGAGAGCATGCAATTGGCATGCTGACTGCAGGAATGTCCACCTGAGCTGTTGCCAGAGAATTTAATGTTCATTTCTCTACCATAAGCTGCCTCCGTCATTTTAGAGAATTTGGCAGTACGTCCAACCGGCCCCACAACCGCAGACCACGTGTAACCACGCAAGCCCAGGACCTGCACATCCGGCTTCTTCACCTGTGGGATTGTCTGAGACCAGCCACCCGGACAACTGATGAAACTGTGGGTTTGCACAACTGAAGAATTTCTGCACAAACTGTCAGAAACCGTCTCAGGGAAGCTCAACTGCGTGATCGTCGTCGTCCTCACCAGGGTCTTGACCTGATTGCAGTTTGGCGTCGTAACCGACTTCAGTGGGCAAATGCTCACCTTTGATGGCCACTGGCACGCTGGAGAAGTGTGCTCTTCACAGATGAATCCCAGTTTCAACTGTACCGGGTAGATGGCAGACCGCGTGTATGGCGTTGTGTGTGCAAGCGGTTTGCTGATGTCAACGTTGTGAACAGAGTGCCCCATGGTGGGGTTATGGTATGGGCAGGCATAAGCTATGGACAATGAACACAATAGCATTTTATCAATGGCAATTTGAATGCACAGAGATACCGTGACGAGATCCTGAGGCCCATTGTCATGCCATTCATCCGCCGCCTTCACCTTATGTTTCAGCATGATAATGCAGGCCCCATGTCGCAAGGATCTGAACACAATTCCTGGAAGCTGAAAATGTCCCAGTTCTTCCATGGCCTGCATACTAATGTCACCATTAAGCATGTTTGGGATGCTCTGGATCGACGTGTATGACAGTGTGTTCCGGTTCCCGCCAATATCCAGCAACTTCACACAGCCATTGAATAAGACTGGGACAACATTCCACAGGCCACAATCAACAGCCTGATCAACTCTATGCGTAGATGTCACGCTGCATGTGGCAAATGGTGGTCACAGCAGATACTGACTAGTTTTCTGATCCATGCTCCTACTTTTTTATTTTTTAAAGGTGTCTGACCAACAGATGCTTATCTTTATTCCCAGTCATGTGAAACACATAGATTTGGGCCTAATGAATTTATTTCAATTGACTGATTTCCTTATATGAACTGTAACTCAGTAAAATCTTTTAAATTGTTGCGTTTTATATTTTAGTTCAGTATAAATATGGTTCTGCAAAGTATGCATCCTCTTCAGGCTCGTAGCTGTCCGACTCAGACATGTTTTGATTGAATGATTTTGGGCGGTGTAGAACTTGAAAGCCGTGTCTGCACTGCTCTAGCCTCGAGAACCGTCATTTGTAGGCGTGACTACTCGAAAACAGGAAGTAAGCACAGTTCGAGTTAAACACATTCATGCTCGTAATAGTGAAAATAGCCAAGTGTTTTGATATTGACATGGGTGTATACCCCACAAAGACGTGAGATGGCTGTAAGAGTTTCTTGTGGGGACGTTCTGAAGCACGTTTTTTATGGTGAGTCTGGCCACTACCACTATATGGCTCATGCAAGCAACTAAGCCAGCCAAAGAAATCTCAGGAATGGAACTCTGACCAAAACAACTGTCTGGATGATGCTTCAACACTAAAAGTAAGTGGAAATATAAACTGAAATATCCCTTTTTAATAGTGGTTGATGTGTCAACAATCAGCTGCAAGTTATGAGCAGTCAGCAGTTCACAAACCAAGTAGGCTACTGAGAAGACAGACAGCACTTAAAGCAGATGGCCCTAGCTAGCAAAAAGACAGTACTAGACCACAGATGAAGACAAAAATTATACTTATCACTCCTGGAGATATCAGGAGTCCTCTAGCTATAGATTGAAACACTAAAACTGTATTTAGCGCAAGCACTAATAATGTGTTGTCACCTGTGTTCAGCTGGACAGGAGAAACCCAAGCAGAAGAAGACAGTGGATCTGTTTGGAGGAGATGATGAGGATGGTGACATCTTTAGTGAGAGCGCTGTCGCCCCGCCCCCTCTACAGAGCAGGAAGGAGGTGGTGGAGGAGGAAGAACAGGTGAAACAGGCTCCTCAGAAAAAGGTGAACATACACACGTGTACATTGTGTTTCCATATTAACAAATGTTGATTGACTATCATGATTTTAGAGTGATCATGATAATGGATTTAGGGCACTTGGTTATCATGATTATAAGTTGCTTACTTACAGTAGTGTTCATGAGTTATGCTGATGATGATTGTTGGTTTTAGTGATGAATTATGCTGATGGTTGTAGTGATGAATTATGCTGATGGTTGTAGTGATGAATTATGCTGATGATGTTTGTTGGTTGTTGTGATGAATTATGCTGATGGTTGTAGTGATGAATTATGCTGATGATGTTTGTTGGTTGTTGTGATGAATTATGCTGATGATGTTTGTTGGTTATAGTGATGAGTTGTGCTAATGATGGTTGTTGGTTGTGTTTAGATGCCAGCGGGAGGTGTCTCCATGTTTGGTCCTGGTACCAAGAGCCTACTGACTGAGGCACTGAAGAAACGACAGCCCTCCACCAGCGAAGAGTCAGAGCAGGTGGGACTCCTCTTTCATCTACCCATCATCTCTCTTCCATCACTTTATCTATATTTATCTATCTACAATCTCTTTCTCTCTCTCCCTCACTCTCTCTTCCTAACTCTCTCTTTGTTTCTCTTGCTCTCCTTTTCATCTCTCTCTCTCCCTCTTTCTCTCATTGTAGAGCTGTAGAACTCTACTCATCACCCTCTCCATGTTGTTCATTACAGAACGGCCCTCCTCCAGACGTGGTGAAAACCCCTGCTAAGCAGACAGAGAAACCCCAGGCGAAGAGTCTGTTCTCTGACGATGAAGACTCACAGGTGTGCTTCTTCTTTTTAACACTCATTCTCAAGTATGCATCCATTACCTGAATGTTGTTGATGGAGGTACTTCGCATGCTTATCAATTACATCAATATCTACATGAGCCGTACAATTAATGCTTAGAACGTTAGGTTGATCATGAAGCATGGTGTTGTTTTACAGATGTAACCTCACCTTTCTCTGTCTCTGTCTTTCTAGATATTTCAAACCATCCCTAAGAGTCAGTCTAAGCCTGAACCCACACCTCAGAGCAAAGCCAGCAAAGCTCCTCTGTCCATCTTCGATGACGAGGAGGAAGAAGTGAGAAGATGAGCCTGACCGATATCGGTCCATAAAATATTATAATTTGTACCTGCATCTTCATATCTAACCACTTTCTTTCATCATGCAGGATCTGTTTGCGTCTGCGAAGAAGTCCAAACCAAGCCAAGCTAAAGCCGCCACACCACAAGTCAAGAAACCTGTCTCTAGCTCCCTCTTCAGTGATGACGAGGTAATGGGAGGGAAGGGAACCTTGCTACATAAACTTCAGTTCAACTTCAGCCTGTCAGAAAATAACCCTTAGCCCCCTCCTTTAGCCACTACCCCTTTGGTATTCACAGATCTGAAATGCCTGGAGAGGTGTAAGCAATATGGTGATGGCTCTGCCATCCAATGGGCTTAGGACAGCTTCAGATATAGCTTACACCAATTTTATTCCTATAAATCTGCAAACACCAGAAGGTAGGGGGCAAGGGGTGAAGGTTGTTTCTATTACTTCAAGAGATGGTATCTATTTAACCCTTTTGTATTCTTTCTGTATTAGGACCAGTGGATGAGCTCCAAGCCTAGTGCTGGTAAGACAGAGGGTAAGACTGGAGGGATGAAGTCCAGTACTAGTGCCCCATCTAGTCTACCCAGTGTCATAGCAGCTCCTAAAGACAGCCTGTTCGATGAGGATGATGACGATCTCTTTGCAGCTACCAAGGAGTCGAGGTAAACGTCATATCAATAGTAGACAAAAATACTTAATCTGTAGTATGACGCCTTGGTGTGGTGTTGATGGGTGTACATGTCTGTGTGTTTGTGCAGTCAGAAGAAGCACCAGAGAGTGTCTCTCCTGTTTGAAGATGAGACTGAGGATGATGAAGATAAGGGATCCCTCTTCGGCTTCAAAACAAGCGTCAACAACCGCTCTACTACAGCTGACCCTAAAGTAAGCCTGGGTTACAGATTCTGTCTGTCCACAGCCTATTCCCTATGTAGTGCACTATATAGTGAATAGGGTGCCATTTGAGATGCAGCCTCTGTCATGTACGAATAACCTATAGGTGAAACGCCTTCAAGACAACAATGTAATTGTTAAAAAGCTAATACTTCAGTAATGTCTAGGCTCTTGTCTATTATTTTAAAACAATACAAATATTGAATGAATATTGTTTTTATTTATGATCGTTATTGTAAGAAAGCACTGTTTTGATGTACTGTTTATAGAAATACTGTGTGTGGTAACATCCCTGCAGTGATAGCGATGACTGTAATCAATGCTACTTCAGTCCGTTACCCCCTAGCTCATACCCTTTTCTCCTGTGCCCTTGTCCTGTTCTCTAGGCTCCTGTTGTAGTCTCCCCAGCCCCCTCGCTGCTCCACACTGACAAACCTGAGGTGACGGCACCACCTCCTCCCCCAGTGGAGGAGAAACCTGCAGAGGAGGAGAGCGTAGCGAAGGACAAGAGTCCTGAGGTGCCGTCCCTGTCCTCTCCACTAGAGGGCAGTGGGAGTAAGAAGAAGCCAGTAGGGGCCGTCAGTCTGTTTGGAGGGATCAACGTGCTGGGAGACAGACTGGGAGCAGCCAAGGTGAGATGCTACATAAGGCTTAGGGTAGAAGTTCCCCCTAAGCTCAGATCTAGGGCCAGCTAAACTCATCCAACCCAAATCCTAACCATAACTTCGTTTTGGCCATTTGGGACCTTTTTTCAATTAATATTTCCGTTATTCCTCACATTCCCTCTCCTCGTCTCCTTCTCAAAACGCATTGGATGGGGAGGGACCTTTGACCTTTTCCTCCGATATAGCTGAGAAGGAGGCAAGGAAAGAGGAAGGTGAATTAAGATGGAGCCCTGCTCCTATACCTGTGAGTGTGAGATGCTGTATTCACTTTGACGCCTTTCTATCTTCCTGTCCCTTAACAAGCAGACTAAGAGCCCATTGGACGAGCCGGACGGTGATGACTTCCTGTCTGAGGGCCCGCCCCCCATGGAGAAGGAGGACAAAACGAAGAAAAACGCCCTTAGTCTGTTTGATGATGTGGAGGAAGAGGATGGTGCTGACTGGACTGCCCCCATCTCCATACCGACCAAACCAGTTGCCAAAAACACACTAAAGGTTTGTCTGAGTTATTTTATTCATACTACTGATAATTCGTGTGTGTTTGTGTGTGTAAATCGTGTGTGTGTGTGTAAATTGTGTGTGTGTGTGTGTAAATTGTGTGTGTGTGTGTGTGTGTGTAAATCGTGTGTGTGTGTGTAAATCGTGTGTGTGTGTGTGTAAATCGTGTGTGTGTGTGTGTGTGTGTGTGTAAATTGTGTGTGTGTAAATCGTGTGTGTGTGTGTGTGTGTGTGTGTGTAAATCGTGTGTGTGTGTGTAAATCGTGTGTGTGTGTGTGTAAATCGTGTGTGTGTGTGTGTGTGTGTGTGTGTAAATCGTGTGTGTGTAAATCGTGTGTGTGTGTGTGTGTGTGTGTGTAAATCGTGTGTGTAAATCCTGTGTCTGTGTAAATCCTGTGTCTGTGTAAATCCTGTGTCTGTGTAAATCCTGTGTCTGTGTAAATCCTGTGTCTGTGTAAATCCTGTGTCTGTGTAAATCCTGTGTCCGTGTGTTAGCCTGCGGAGGAGCGTCCTCGTACCAAGAGTAGTACCGGGGTGTTCCAGGATGAGGAACTGCTCTTCAGTCAGACTCAGCAGAGAGACAACGACCCTGACGTTGACATCTTTGCCACGCCTGACAAGTCTGTGGTGAGTTCTAGGGACAGTAGGCTTAGTGAGAGGGTATAAGTGTTAGTATTGGGCTAGAGCAAAACGCCTTGACTCACCAGGACCAGGGTGGATGTCTTGCATTGCATCAGCACATTGAGGCGTACTACTTGCTACCCCTTTGAGTGATGAATTCATTCTACTAATGATAGTAGTGATGATAAAGTGTGTTCCTGTCTCAGAGCTCCAGGCCCAGCTCCGTGAGGTCAGCAGCTCCAACACTGTTTGGTGATGAAGATGAAGATGACCTCTTCAGCTCTGTCAAGCCCAAAGCTCCTCCTCCGGTACCCTATTCTAAATCACCTCAATCAGTCAATACAATATGAATACAACTTGATTAATTTACCGATGACTGTACATCCTCAGTCCTTTCTTTGACCTGCATTCTCAGAAAGTATCAGAGAAGCCCCGTAAACCCAGGAAAGACGAGCCATCCTCAAAACCTGCTGTCACAGAGAGTGCGGTAAGGCTGATGAAACTAAGAGTCCTAGTCTCTGCAGAATATGTGATTGCCCATGTGCTTATGATTTAAAGGGTGTACGTCAGAGGAGGCTGGTGGGAGGAGCTATAGAAGGATGGGCTCATTGTAATGGCTTGAATGGAATAAAAGGAACGTATCAAACATATGGAAACCACGTTTGACTCCGTTCCATTGATTCCATTCCAACCGCTACAATGAGCCTGTCCAAAATAACTCCTCCCACCAGCCGCCTCTGGTGTACATATGTATGTCTTACATTTTTTCAGAATTTGAAGGATATCTGTAGACAGTAATGCTTTCTCCTCTCAGTTGATAGTTATTATACTGTTACATTGCTTTTGGAGATACTCCTGGCCAGATTACTTAACATGATCTATGTCGTTCAACTGCACAGAAGCCGACACCAAGCCCTGTAAAATCTAAAGAGCCTTCACGGACTGGAATACTCCAAGTAAACTTCAAAAATGTTAAATCAGTTTTCTTATTATTCAACATTTTACTCTTTCTTTACTATTTCTGAATGAGCTTTCATTCTCCCAACATGTTTTCTGCCAGTTATCTTTGAACCTCCGCCTTTGACGTGAAACAAGTCGTCTTTTCCACTGCTGGCTTAAAAGCTAAACTGAGACCCTGTGACTGTCAGATTGATTCTCACAAGGTTTCGTTTTTTACAGTCAAATTGAAAGCGATTGGTCAGCCTTTATTCTTACTGAAACCACATGAATAGATGTTATTCCTACGTCTACATTTGGACTTTTTCTTTATCTTTATTCTTGGGCTCTCACTTTCCTCTGTTTTGTCTACCGCTTGGTTCTGATGATCATGAGGGACTGCATGAACAAAATGACTTGTAAATCCAATTGAGGACAAATCCAAATGTCTTCACTGTACTGTGCTCTGATTACAAACCCTCTCTTATTAAGGCCTTTAGTTGGTATGAAATTGGGCCAACACTCGTGAACAAATGTGTTCCTCCTCCTCACTCTCAGGCCAACCTGGTGATCAACCCTGCTGCCCTCCTGCCTGACGCGGTCTCTCAGATCTCAGGGGGGGTCAGTGTACTCCCAGGCTTGAGCTCCAGCCCCACCTCCCCCAGCCCCAGCTCCTCAGGCCCCAGTGCCAGCCTCACCCCTAGTCCTGCCGGGACCAAGCCCCCCAGCAACAGAGGGGTTAGCTTCGACAACCCAGTCCAGGTGTCCACGCTACAGAGTGCGAACAAGGTGGGTCAAGGGTCAGAGGTCAGGCACTGGGGTGGACATAATGGAACAGGGTGGGGGAAACATGGAACACCTACTTTTGATCCTTAAATCATATAAATAAAATGTATAAAGCTCTAACCTTGTTCCTTCCAAAATAAGCCCGTGATGACTCCATGTGTCTTCTCTTCCTGTAGGGTCGAGCTAAAGGCTCCATCCGCCGCAGGCCCCAGACCAGGGCAGCACGGCAGACGGCAGCTCAGAGCTCTGTGGAGCAGAGAGACGAGAACCAGAGAGAGGACCAGGCCGGACCCAGCCCAACCCAGCCTAGCCCAGCACTACCTAACCTAACTCCTCCCAGGCCTAGTCTACCTAACCAAGCCCCAACCACTGCCTTACCCTCCATCTTACCTGCTTCCTTACCCTCCCAACCCCTGCTCACCGATGTCTCTGTTAGACCGTCAGTGCTAACACTAGCAGTGTCCAACACCCCTCTAAAGAAAGACACTTCTAAGGGTAGCAAGGTGAAGGTGCTGCCCTCTCCTGACGAGGATGACCTGTTTGGGTCCGACAGCCTCTTCGGGTCTGCCCCTGCCCCAGGCCCCAAACTCACCACCCCCTCACCCATACTCACTACTCCATCCCCCAAATACACAACAAAGACTACAGAGGGCGAAGTGACGTCGAAGAATGAGAGTGAGAAGGAGAAGGAGACGACCCCTCAGTCCCTCTTTGACGACCCCATGGGTGACCTGTTCAAGAAGGTGAAGCCGAGGTCGGCTAAGAAGGCCAAGGCATCTTCCTTCCTGGAGGATGAGGAGAAGGATGAAGAGGATATCTTTGGGCTGGGAAAGAGTTCCACTCCCACTACTGCTGCTGGTGGTAAAGACACTAAGGCTGGGAGCAACTCTACTCCCAAGCAGGACATCTTCCAGGTATTGGTCATGATGATCAATATTGTCAGTCAATTGAACTATCAGTCAGTCTGTTTATGATTTCAGTTTTAAAATATATTGTGCAGGCCGGAATTTACAATAACTTTTCATTGTAACAGTCTAAATGCAGTTGGTCTGTCACAGCGCATGCTGGGTCAGCACATCTGTTTATCCAACAGTCACGATCTCTGCAACAGGAGGAGGAAACAAATCAATATATTCCTTGGAAAGTGTGTGTGTGTCGTGTCTGTGTGTGCTTCTGGTCTGAATATGTCTGTTTCTGTTTTCACAGGATGAAGCAGAGACGCCACCCAAAACCCACATAAAGCACAAAGAGAAATCCCTGGATGCCAGCCTCTTTGACGACAACGTTGACATCTTTGCTGATATGACGGCCACTTCAAAACCAAAAGAGAAGAAGTCCAAGAAGGTGGAGACTAAATCAATATTTGATGATGATATGGGTGAGTGTTTGCAGTGCACAGATTTCAGAATATCTATAACTTGCTTGTTTATTGTTCCTCAATAACTGTTTCAACATGTATGTTGAAATTCACCACACACACAGACAAATACAGGTATACCTGCACACCACAGGAGGTTGGTGGCACCTTAATTGGGGAGAACGGGCTTGTGGTAATGACTGGAGCGGAATCAGTGGAATGGTATCAAATATATCAAACACATGGTTTCCAGGTGTTTGATGCCATCCCATTCACACCTTTCCGGACATTATTATGAGCCGTCCTCCCCTCCGCAGGCTCCTGTGGTACACACACACAAAAACAAACTCACACACATAGTCTTACAATGCCATTGCCACCAGGTTGAACTGAAACATTTACAGTACTGTCCATACTTCTCTCTCTGCAGATGACATCTTCTCTCCCAGCACTGTGAAGCCAGTGGCCAAGCAGCCTCCATCCAAGTCCAAGAAGAGCCCTCCCTCCCAGGACACCAGTGCAGCGGACGACTCGGGCAACATCTTTGACGACCCTCTCAACGCTCTGGGCGGGAACTGAACCGTGGACCGTTCCTGAGGAGCTAAAACATTGGCTGCATCCCAAATGGCACCCTATTCCCTAGATAGTTAATTAGCTCAGTGCCCTATGTGGGGTATAATATGCCATTTGGTGCCTAATAACTTCTTGTTGTTTTGGAGGACTGAAAAAAGGGTTGGCGATATTAACACTGTTCATATAGACTATTTATATAAAAACAATAGGTTGATCGACGTAACCTCGGACGGAAATTTAAACAGGAAGAAATTATGAAGGGGATGATTCTGATATACCCTTCACATACTCATCTCTGATTGATAACAGACAAAGTAACAGTTATGAAATGCTATTTTGTCTTTATTTAATTTCCATGATAGCAGCACTTTATAAGCATATTCTTAGCCATCATTAGGCCAGCTGAAAATAAATAAATAGTAAATGATTTATAAATATAGTTGGAGAGCTCTCTGTGTTTAAGTTTTGGGCTGTGCCATATCATAGTTATGAAGTCCTTGTTAACTGACTGACTGTCCTAGCAACAACAAGCAAATGTTTTTGTTTTTCAATTAATATGAAATTGTTAAATTTGGTAACTTTGCCTGTGATGAATGACATTTCTTCTTCTTTTTTTAAAAACTAAAATGATATTTTATGAAATGTGAAATGGGTGTTGTAAGTTTGTTTCAAAGATCTGCAGCACTACTTTCTAGCCTTTTGTTGAGATCATGAATAGTGGAATTATGAATGCAGCAGAAATAAGGAAGATGGCATGAAAGAGGAACAGGGCTGTTCTTAGCACCTCTGTGTGATTCTAGATTTACACTGTTCCTTCCCTTTTAATTAATATTCTACTTCTGTGCTTAAAGGATGGCCTTCACTGCCATGCCTTGACTGCTAGTCGACTTTAAATGTTGAGTAACTGCACTGATACATTTAAAGAGGATTCTGCATCATTGATATAGGAGCCTACATTTTATAAGGAAAAGCTATATTTTTATCCATTCATCATTGATGGTATTTTATGATTGCTTAAAGATAACTTGTACACTTTTAAATCAACTTATTGAAGTGTAGCACAAAAACAACCATTATTCCACAGATGAAATGTTAGTTTGTTAGGCTATCAGTATCTTTAATAAGTCGCTCCGAAGCCAGTGTTCTTTTTATAGGAGAAACGTAAATCTCTGTGACCGAACAATATTTGTCCCGCCTCTGTGTACTCTTCATTGGTTGACCTACATTTTTCTCGAGCGAACACGTTACGTCATGGTGCCTTTGTTGTCAATCAAGAGAAGTCACAATAGGCTGGTCAGGAGCCTATGTTTTTTGACAGGTGAGATGAGTTCAGTTCAGGAAAACCCCAAGGGTTACCGATCTAGCTTAGTTCATGGGCAATAAGGATAGCTTTCGGCTGTCCTTCTTATTTTCAAACATGAAGATACATGGAACCGTTTCATTATAATGTAGAATGCCGAATCTGAAAAGGAGTGTACGCGTAGCAGCTTGCAGCAGCCATCGACCCAAGCAAGGTAGCCATTGTTTGGGTTGCTAAAGTGGTGCTAGCTAGCGCGCTAACTGGTTCTGGCTAGCTAGTCACAACCTATTTATTTAGGTATACGAACTAGCTAGCTAGATAATAAATGCATTTGCTTTGTTAATAACGTTACTATCTATATTTGTGCTATTGTTTTATGTCCAGCTAGTTAAAGACGGAGTGTTTCTAGTCTTGGGACGCCAGTTGTTCATCGGTGGTGTACTCTTGCCGGCTATAGGGACCCTCTCTTGGGATGCTCTTACGGTGAGTAAAAAAAAAAAGGGGGGGGGGGTCTGGTGAGACAGCGAGAAAACATTCCTGTCTGGTCATGTATTAGTTATCTAGCTGCATCTTTTGTCTAGTAAGCACTGATAGGAAAGATCAAGAACCTTTTGTTTTTCACGATCGACACAAATGGTATAATGTAGCACTGGGTTGATAACTTACTTCACATTGGACACCACCTGTCATGTTGAGCTTTCCAGGTTTTCTTTCTTGCCAGACATCAACGCTTCATGGTGATGGTGTAGGCCTAAACATTGGGAATACAGTAGCCGAGTTCCTCATTTGTGTAGTTGAGAAATTCGGCTAGGGATACAGTAGACTTGGTCTTTACAGTGTTCGTGTGAAAGGAATCTAATCAGCTTGAACACACCACAAATACATAAATCCCATCTCTCTAGTAGTTCACTTCACAGATTCCCAATCTCAAGTCGTTCCGAGTATCAATCAGCCCACAATTTTACATTTGCATGCTTTTAAATTGAAATATTAATGCAGTCACATAACATGCAGGTTAACTGTCAAGAGTCCTCCTGTCCCCTATGCCTGCATGGAGTTCTATGTGTTTGATACCATACATTCCTCCTGATGTCTTTACATAGGCTAACAGCTGATCAGCTTTAGCTACCTAGACTATACTGCAGCCAAGAGCTGTGGCCTGGGCCTTGTGCTCTGCTGAATGTTTTATGAAGGCACTTATTAACTCATACACTTGTCTCTTCAATTCTACTGAAGTTTTTTTTTTTTATCTGAAACTATTGCTCTCTAATTGTATAGGCCAGGCCAAAGGTGACTGTGAGTAGGTGACATTTCAGTGTGTCTGTGTGTGAATATTTTAATACACACTTCTTCCAAATTACATAATGGAATGCTTTGCATTCTGCTCACTAGTATTAGCAGAGGGGGTTAGGCCTCCTTGCACATTGTAGGCCATAGATGTTGATCGTTGTTTGTTTTGTCAGGGAAGTAATGGTCTCCTTACCTACCAGGTGCATGCAGGCATGTCAACTCAACTCCCCCAGTTTTTTTTTTTTGTCAACTGTTATGCCTCATGGTGTCTGTATGAGGATCAAACATAGATTACCTTAGACTTGGAAGAAAGGGCAAGGTACTGAGCCATCTCTCTCTCTCTCTCAGAGCTTTGGGCTTCCTGTTCCTGCATGATGTGTAACCGTGGTGACAACAGAGAGCACCCACACCCATCCCTCTCTCCCTTCCCCTGGGCCGCTGCCCCTCCCACACCCCCCTCCCCCTAAAGCAGTCCAAACCTCACCAAGATGGCAGACAGAAAGGAGCCACCAATCTATAATGATGACAGCGTGGGGGCCTTCCAGTACAAGTTGCCGTTCTACGAGACCATGGAGCTGTTCATCGAAACATTGACGGGGACCTGCTTCGAGCTGCGCGTCTCGCCCTTTGAGACAGTCATCTCTGTCAAGGCCAAGATCCAGAGGCTGGAAGGTATGGTACATAACAGTGCAGTAGTCACTCTTACTGACCCAGCATGTAGGCTACATGTAGCTGTCTATACAGCTTCCCCTACCATTACTTAAGCAGGACAGGTGCCACTTCAACATTTAAAATAATCTATGAGTGATGATCTATCTATGAGTAATCAGAAGCTCAGACTCATACAAATGTATTCCATTGCAAATGATGGCTTTTCTGTTTTAGTAGTGCTGGAAAAAGAAATATCCTCACATCATTCCTTTTGTAGTCCATGATTGTCTGTAGACCATGCCACATACGTCTCGTGTCTGAGCCGTTGAATTGCGACTCCACTTTGTCCCTATACTGACGTTTTGCCTGTTTAATTGCCTTGTGGAGGGAATAACTTTGTATTTTGCGATATTCCCAGTCACCTTGCCATGGTTAAATGCAGTGGTTCACGCTTTCAGTTTTGCGCGAATGCTGCCATCTATCCACGGTTTCTGGTTAGGGTAGGTTTTAATAGTCACAGTGGGTACAACATCTACTATACACTTCCTGATAAACTCAGTCACCGTATCAGTATATACATTGATATTATTCTCTGAAGCTACCCAGAACATATCCCAGTCCGCGTGATCAAAACAATCTTGAAGCGTGGATTCCGATTGGTCAGACCAGTGTTGAATAGTCCTTAGCACGGGTACTTCCTGTTTAAAGTTCTTTGAGGGCCGTCGTGGTATCGGCTTGAGGGGGGATATACAGTTGAAGTCGGAAGTTTACATACACTTAGGTTGGAGTCATTAAAACTCATTTTTCAACCACTCCACAAATTTCTTGTTAACAAACTATAGTTTTGGCAAGTCGGTTAGGACATCTACTTTGTGCATGACACAAGTAATTTTTCCAACAATTGTTTACAGAGATTAATTCACTGTATCACAATTCCAGTGGGTCAGAAGTTTACATACACTAAGTTGACTGTGCCTTTAAACAGCTTGGAAAATGCCAGAAAATGATGTCATGGCTTTAGAAGCTTCTGATAGGCTAATTGACATCATTTGAGTCAATTGGAGGTGTACCTGTGGATGTATTTCAAGGCCTACCTTCAACCACAGTGCCTCTTTGCTTGACATCATGGGAAAATCAAAATAAATCAGCCAAGACCTCATAAAACAAATTGTGGACCTCAACAAGTCTGGTTCATTCTTGGGAGCAATTTCCAAATGCCTGAAGGTACCACGTTCATCTGTACAAACAATAGTACGCAATTATAAACACCATGGGACCACGCAGCCGTCATACCGCTCAGGAAGGAGACGCGTTCTGTCCTAGAGATGAACGTACTTTGATGTGAAAAGTGCAAATCAATCCCTGAACAACAGCAAAGGACCTTGTGTAGATGCTGGAGGAAACAGGTACAAAAGTATCTATATCCACAGTAAAACAAGTCCTATATCGGCATAAGCTGAAAGGCCGCTCAGCAGGGAAGAAGCCACTGCTCCAAAACCGCCATAAAAAAGCCAGACTACGGTTTGCAACTGCACATGAGGACAAAGATCGTACTTTTTTGAGAAATGTCCTCTGGTCTGATGAAACCAAAACAGAACTGTTTGGCCATAATGACCATCGTTATGTTTGGAGGAAAAAGGGGAACGCTTGCAAGCCGAAGAACACCATCCCAACCGTGAAGCACGGGGGTGGCAGCATCATGCTGTGGGGGTGCTTTGCTTCAGGAGGGACTGGTGCACTTCACAAAACAGATGGCATCATGAGGAAGGAAAATTGTGGATATATTGAAGCAACATCTCAGACATCAGCCAGGAAGTTAA